ATGTAAAACTCTTTAGGTCACTATATTTGTGCATTTCCCAGAAATAGGCCTACATGCCTGTGTGATACAACACAAGCTTAAAATCCTCAATACCAGCAGCTGAAGGGGATTTATGAGGTCAGAGGAGCTTATTAAAAGACTGTAAAGGGGGAAATAAGTATTAATTAATAATTTGGAAATTACTACTGTAGTACTTACATCATTGCTGTGTCTGGGACTCCAGACATAAAATCCAATCCACAAAGGAGACTGCACAAGTCAGAACAGAGGACATTCTTAACATTCCAGAACATGTGGAGCAACTGATCAGAATTCCACAGACTCACTTCCTCTCTGCGCAGGAACTGACTGACATCCGCAAAACACTGGTGTCTAGGCGACCATGATGTCATCAAAACACCAAACCTGAAATATCTTTGTCAATTAATTTAAGGCACCGCACAATTTGGAGATTTTAGCTTTTTTTTTGAAGGAAAAATACAAAATGTCTATCAGTACCATGTCTATATGCATGGAGTTCATCATGTGTGCCTATGTATGGAGTGTATATGTATAGCGTGTATCATATGTACAGTTGAAGTCTGAATTATTAGCCCCTTGAATTATTCGACTGCTTGTTTATTTTTTCCCCAATTTCTGTTTGAGAGCAGAATTTTTCAACACATTTCTAAACATAACAGTTTTAATAACTCATTTCTAATAATGGATTTATTTTACCCATACTATCATGACTGTAAATAATATTTTACTAGATATTATTCAAGACACTTCTAGACAGCTTAAAGTGACATTTAATTAGGCAAGTTATTGTATAACGATGGCTTGTTCTGTAGACTATCGAAAAAAATATTGCTTAAAGTAAAATAATTTTGTCCCTGAAATGGTGATTAAAAAATTAAAAGCTGTTTTTATTCTAGACTTTCTCCAGAAAAAAATATATTATCAGACACACTGTAAAAATTTCCTTGCTTAGTTAAACATAATTTGGGAAATATTAAAAAAAGAAAACAAATCAAAGGGGGCTAATAATTCTGACCAACTGTATATGTACGGGGAGTGTCTATGTATAAGATGGAGTGTATCATGTATAGTGTGTATGTGTATATGTACAGTATGTGTAGATATGTACAGTATATATAGAGTGTATCATGTCTGTGTATATCTGTAGTATGTATTGTGTGTGTATGTATAGAGTGTATCATGTCTGTGTATATGTATAGTATATACCTGTAGTTTGCATGTAGTGTTTCATGTGCTCAGTAGCTCAGTGGTAATGTGATTAACCTCTCACACCACAGACCCGAGTTCTATTCCAGATCCTGCGAGAAGTATACAATGTCTACAGTATATGCATAGAGTGTATCATGTGCATATGTAAGGAGAGTTTCTATGTATAAAATGGAGTGTTTAGTATGTATCATGTTTATATTTACAGTATGTATCATGTCTGTGTATATGGATGGAGTGTATATGCATAGAGTGTATAATGTCTGTGTATATGTATGGAGTTGTATATGTATTGTGTGTGTATGTATCGAGTGTATCGTGTCTATATGCATGGAATGTATCATGTGTGCCTATGTATGGAGTGTATATTTATAGGACAAAACAAGACTTATTTTTAAAATTAAACAAAAAACAAACTGGCCAGCACATTTAACTGTCCTCAGTCCCAATTTGGCCAATTCAATAATAATAATAATAATAATATAAATAAATAAATAACACAATAATACAATAATTATTATTTCTTCAGATTGTTTCTAGCCTCTTTAGTAAAAAAAAAAAAGTACATTTGAAAATTCCTGGATATCAACAATAGCCAAAATATATACAAATTAATTTAAAATGGTCGCTTCTGGTGCTTCAAACCTTTTTATTGCTCATTTTTATTTAAGGAATATTATATCCGATCAGAATAAAACGAATGAAGTGTTCAAACAGCCTCAAAAAAAAAAAAAAAAAAACACACACGTGTTTAAAACTACACTTTATTACAATATATATTGAATATAAATATTTTATATAATATATATTATATAATATTAAATTACATTAAAAAAAGAACAAATTCTGGACCTTTTGGCCTGGACCTTTTTTGAGATTGAGTGATATAAAAAAAACTGCAAAATAATATGAAATAGGCAGAAAGGGTGCATTTCAGGACTTGGGCCCCATGGCTGGAGTTGCTTAGGCCCCCCGAATTGCAAAATCCGTCCCTGTTACCAACAACAAATTTCGATTAGCAATAGGCCTATCAAACACTTGCTTTTCGTATTTACGTCATGACCAAGTGCTGGTCAAAGCACATCCGTTGGGTTTTTAATTAGAAACAGGTTTGACGATGGCTGGAAGTTTTTCAGAATGAGTGTAGGCTTTCATCAGTGTTAGTCAACACAGGCACAATGTGACTATTAAGCGGAGAGGAGGAAAGAAAGAAAAGCAGACTCCCCATGGGGAACAAATGACGCTCGTACATGGCGGAGGACACACGGGTTACTATGGGAACCAATGGCGTAACTTGTCGGCTCAATCTACGCAGGCTGCGAAGCCCACCGGATCTCCATGTAGACTTGCATATGAGAATGCATTAATATGGAATTTACTGACATATTAATAAAAGGTCAAATGAACTAATTCAGTGGCTAGAGATGTTTTAAACATTCAATTATATGGTTACTGCGCAATTTCATCATGCTGGCGTGATTATGTATATTTAGGCTCCTTTTCAAAATGCATTGAACAATGAAAACATTCAAAATTTGTCTTAAGTTGCAAATTAAAGTCTAGTTAAGTCTCAGTTAACAGCTGAAAAAGAACAGCTAAAACCAGCCTGACCAGCTAAAACCAGCCTGCCTGACTAGCCAAAACCACCAAGATCAGCTAAAACCAGTCAGCCTGGCCAGCTAAAATCACCTAAGACCAGCTAAAACCAGCCAGTTTGACCAGCTAAGATCAGACTGACAAGCAAAAACCAGCCTGACCAAGACCAACTAAAAAGTGGTCAAAACCCCTTTAAAACCAGCTGGGCCTGCTAAAACCAGCTCTGACCAGCTAAAACCAGCCTAGACTAGCTAAGACCAACCTGACCAACTAAGAGCAGCTAAAAAGTGGCCTAAACCCCTCTAAAACCAGCCTGACCCGATAAGACCAGCTAAAACGAGCTTGGCGACCTAAAACCAGCTATAGCCAGTTAGGACCAACCAGCTAAAAAGTGGCTCAAGCCTCTCTAAAACCAGCCTGACCTGCTACATTGAGACTGACCAGCTAAAACCAGCCAAGATCAACCTGACCAACTAAGACCAGCTAAAAAGTGGCCCAAACGTCTTTAAAACAAGCCTGGCCTGCTAAAACCAGCTAAGACCAGCTTAACAAGCTAAAACCAGCTAAGACCAATCTTACCAACTAAGACCAGCTAAAAAGTGGCTAAAACCTCCCTGAAACCAACCTGACCCACAAAGACCAGCAAAGATCATTTTGGCAAGCTAAAATCCGCTTAGACCAATAAGCTAAAAAAAGTGACCAAAACCCCTTTGAAACCAGCCTGCCGGACTCGCAAAAACCAGCTAAGAACAGCCTGACCCACTAAAACAAGCTACGACCAGCTTATACCAAGCTGACCAACTAAGACCAGCTAAAAGAGTGGCCAAAACCCCTTAGAAACCAGCCTGACCTGCAAAAAAAGCTAAAACCAGCTAAGACCAACTAAAAATGGCCCAAACCCCTCTAAAACCAGCTAAGACCAGCTTATACAAGCCAGGACCAACCTGACCAGTTAAATTGTGGCCAAAACCTCTCTAAAACCAGCATGACTCACTAAAATCAGCTAAGACCATCTAAAATCAGCTAACACCAACCTGACCAACTAAGACCAGCTAAAAAGTGGCCAAAACTCGTCTAAAACCAGACTGACAAACCAGCTAAGACCAGCCTGGGAAACCAGCTAAAACCAGCCTGACCAGCTTAGGCTCATTTAAGCAGTGTTTTTTTCCAGCAGGGTTATGGTAAAATTACCGTTACTAGTGGTAAATCTAACATCCAGTAATGTAAAAAGTGTTCCCAGACCAACAAAAATGCTTTATATTAAGCCTAATTGTAGTATTAATATTTAAATTGGGTAGGTTTATAAAATTGTAGCTTCATAAGAGTATTAGTTTTATACATCTAAACGACCTTCGGTTACTGTTTAAACTGTTTTAGAATCAGTAACGTTAATATAAAAATAAAGTTAGTTGTGTGGAGAAAACAAAAAGCCTGATGCTGAAGACTGCCTGTGTGATGTTTTAATGCCACCTTGTGGTTACTCCTCGAATAACACTGCATTGAAATGGCTCAATATTAAAACTTGAATTGAATGAATAGAACCGTAAGCTTATAAAGTATTCATTGTGGCTGAAAATAATCCTGAGACAAGAAAATACACGATTCCTTCCATCATAAATATATCTATTACGTCAGGATGTTCGCTTACTGACATTCCTAATGCACCCAGTCAAGTTAATTAATATTCATTATTTTAGCAATCGGATAAATCTACTGGATGAACGTCTCAACAAGCATTTAATATTCAAAAGTTTCTGATCAGCGATCATAGTACAGTTCGCATTTCGAGGGCGGGGCTTTGGGTTCAGAGAAGGCGTGACGTCGTTACGCTGATCCGGAAGAATATTTAAATATACATTTGACAAACTGACGTTATGCATAAACGTTTGGTTATTTGAGCAGGGATTTTGAAAGAACTAGAAATGACCTTGTTCAGACATCTCGTACGCATCACTTCCCCACGGCTGCCGTTTATTTGCGGGAGCAGCAGGAGATTTTCAGCTAAAGTAAGTGCTGGGCTCATTCTGAGTGCAGTGTTACATAATTCTTGTAACTAGATTAAAGACTTGAAGTCTGTGGGACAATAAACATTTTCCCTCAGAAGTTATTAATGATAAAATGAAAAACAAATTGTACTTAAATATTTAAATATAATGTAGAACACAACTTATTTTTACCTGTCATCATGGAGTCTTGCAGGTAACATTTGGTATTTGCGGCTTTGTTGATTTCAGACTGCAGCCGTGGAGCGGGTCGTCTCCTCATTTCGTTCTGTCACCGGAGATGAAGGCGTGTCTGTGGGTTCTGCTGTCAGAGAGCAGCATGGCAGAGATGAGTCTGTGCACAGGTGGGTTGTCTCTGCCATGCCCGAGTGCCACCTGCTTCCTAATGATATGCAAAAAGCCGCATTAAGTCCGCCCACAATAATAAATAAACCAACTGAACTGTAGTTTCAGTGCTAATAGTTGAAAACAGCGATTTTGTATATAAACACATTTTCTCTCTCTTCATGCACCCCAGATACAAAAATCAACAGGCATTATATCAGTCAATCGAGTAATGCACCCTATATTTTATAAACGGATTTTTATAAAATATACGGTGCATGCCCCCCCCTTTAAGGTCTTGTCTTCATAAATTTTAATAAAAATGGCTGGTTCTGTTTCAACTCATACCAAATTAATGTTAGAGTTCTTCTTCGGTTTGTAACCTCTGACAACTTTTTTTTTATTAAAATATTCTCAATAAAGTACCTTAAAGAACCTAAGTGATATATAGGTTCATAAAATGCTCATCTAAAATCTATAAAACATTTATGTGGGTTGAACAACAATTAAGACAGCGTTAGCATCTCTTAGCATTGAATTGTAGGGAACAACAGGCAATTTAAAACCTTTCCCATGTTATTTCATCTGCTGGGTTTTATGGTGTTGTAAACTATTTTAACTTCTTTAGCCTAAATCAACAATAATACAGAACCAAGTCACTGACCAATACACTGTTTACAGTCACTGGCCACTTTATTTGGTACAACTTACCAGTTCCGGGTTTGACCCCGTTTTGCCTTCTGACACTGTGGTCATAAAGGGGTGGACATGGTCAGCAACAATCCTCAGGTATTGTTGATACGCTGCTCAATTGCTACTAATGGGCCCAAAGTGTGCCAAGAAAATATCCCCCACACCATTACACCACCACCACCAGCCTGTACCGTTGATACTAGGCAGGATGGATCCATGCTTCATGTTATTGACGCCAAATTCTGAGCCTACCATCTGAATGTCGCTGAAGAAATCAAGACTCATCAGATCAGGCAGTGTTTTTTAATCTCCTATTGTCCAATTTTGGTGAGCCTGTGCGAATTGTAGCCTCAGTTTCCTATTCTCAGCTGACAGGGGTGGCACCCAGTGTGGTCTTCTGCTCCTGTAGCACATCCGCCTCAAGGTTCGACGTGTTGTCCAGAGATGCATTTCTGCATACCTCGGTTTTACCGTGTGGTTACTTGAGTTACTGTTGCCTTTCTATCAGCTTGAACCAGTCTGGCCATTTTCCTCTGACCTCTTGCATCAACAAGGCATTTGTGCCCACAGAACTGCCGCTTACTGGATATTTTCTCTTTTTCTGACCATTGTCTGTAAACCCTAGAGATGGTTGTGCGTGAAAATCCCAGTAGATCAGCAGTTTCTGAAATACTCAGACCAGCCTGTCTGGCACCAACAACCATGCCATGTTCAAAGTTCCTTAAATCACCTTTCTTCCCCATTCTGATGCTCACAGATCGTCTTGACCATGTCTACATGCCCTAATGCATTGAGTTGCTGCCATGTGATTGGCCCGTTAGAAATTTGTGTTAAAAAGTAGTTGTTCAGGCGTACCCAATAAAGTGGCCGGTGAGTGTATAAACAATGTTGCAAAAAAATCAATATTCAAGCTGTATGACATTAACAAGTGATTTGACACATTACTTGGTATTTACATATCTCTGTTATTTTGTCTGGCTGTATCAGATGCCGACCACCCGATGTGGTTGTGTTTCCTCGGTCAGTAGAGGAGGTCAGCGCTCTAGCCAAGATTTGTCACCACTACCGATTACCCATCATCCCATTCGGCACAGGGACGGGCTTGGAGGGAGGTGTTGGTGCTCTGCAGGTTGGTCCAGTAAAGAAAAAGAGAAAGCAGAATATTACTCTGAAAATGTTAATGATCAAACTTAACCTTCATTAAAAGAAAACGGTTTTGATTTCAAATGATTGTATATAAAACGTTTATATTTGCATGCTAATTTATATGATGGATCACTTTCATTTGATCCAAATGTGTATTTAAGGGTGGAGTGTGTTTCAGTCTGAGAAAGATGGAGCAGGTTGTTGATCTTCACCAAGAGGATTTTGATGTGACGGTGGAGCCTGGGGTGACACGAAAAAGCCTCAATTCATACCTGCGAGACACTGGCCTCTGGTTTCCTGTCGGTCAGTCCCATTCTTGTTTATTACATGTACAAAGTAGATCACATAAAAATCAATCATGCTGCAGTTTTATTGCCAGTAGTTCAAATGTTTTTGAATTTTTTGAATTTTTTTTGTTTTTGAAAAATATCTATATGTAGTTTGTAATATAGCTGCATGTATGTCAACACGATTGAAGTAAACATTTTCATAATCCCCGCCTGCCTGCCACATATGGACACTCCAAAATGGACACTTTTTGACACAGAACAAATACAAAAAGACCAATCAAAACAGACCTGGCCAGCTGACCAATAAGAACAAAGTTTGTCTTATGGACTGGATAGCAAAGACAGAATCACCACGAGGCGACACTCTAGTGCAATTTGGGAAACAGCCACTAGATGGAGCTGCGGCCATTTTGGAATAAAAACTCCAATAGAACAACAGCATATTATAAGTCTGTAAAATAGACTATATAAAGTGCTGATGATTGTGATAGTAAGTGCTGTATTGTTGTCTTTCAGGTTGTATCTCAGCTTTATTGCACTTTTTATATAAATAATAAAAAAAAAACAAAGTCGCTGCTTGCCATCGCGACAGCAATAAGATCCAGTGGACAGCCGACCGCTTTCACTCCAAAATGGCGGAATCCGGGGCAGTTGCTGGGCGCTGCTGTTGCTATGGAACATTCTATTGAGTGTTGCCTCTTGGTCATTCTAAGCTCTTTGTTTATAGACATTAAACCCAGAATGTATTAAAACGAACCATAACAAAATCATTTTGTAGTGATTTGAATATTACTCACTAAAATACCATATGACCTGCTCTTTAAACACTCAAGTTTTCTGATTCTGATGGGTAGTCATGATTTTCCTCTGTGCAATTATGATAATAGTTTTTTTACTATAAAAAAAAAATAAGGTTGTACTATTTTTATGGAAGTTAAAGAATATACAGTGGAGGAAATAAGTATTGAACATGTCATGTTTTTTCCTGGGAATAATATTTCTAAAGGAGTTGTTGACATGGGATTGAACCAGATTTTGATTAAAACCCCAAAACAATACAAACATAAAAATAAAACAAAAAAGCCTTTTATTTTATTTTATATAACGAAGATATATATGTATTATTACTATTTTTGTAGAATTTAAATTTTCTTTAAAAATTCTTTAAAATTACTTTCTATTGGATTCAATTCAGGTGATTGGCCGGGCCATACTACAGCTTAATTTTCTTTCTCTAAAAGCATCTTAGAGTTTCCTCGGCTGTGTTTTGGATCATTGTCTTGCTGAAATGTCCACCCTGGTTTTATCTTCATCATCCTGATAATGTAGATGCTGGACTGAAGCAGCTAATATTATCTACAATGACGAAGGGCAGAGGATTGCTAAATAACTACTAAAAGATTTCAGCTGCTGTCTGGGCTTTCACTGCCTTTCTAAACCTCCCTTTCTTCATTTGTTCAATATTTTTCCCTGTGTCATTTCATTTTATTACACATAACTTATTTTTTAAAACTAATTGGTTTAGTTTTCTTTGCATACATGGATTATTTGGTTGTTACCAACATCCAGTTAAAATTTAAAGTCAACAGCAACCTAATGCGTTCAATACTTATTCCCCCCACTATATTTTCACAGATCCAGGTGCCGATGCATCTCTCTGCGGCATGGCTGCAACTAGCGCATCAGGCACAAATGCAGTCCGTTATGGCACAATGCGCGAGAACGTCCTGAACCTGGAGGTAGTTTTAGCAGATGGAACAATCCTCCACACAGCAGGAAAGGGGCGTCGTCCGAGGTATGACTGCCAATAAGTTGAACTAAACCATTTGTTGTTAACATTTGATGTACTTTTTCCAGTGCACTTCCCTTTTAGAGAGACAGCTGCTGGATACAACCTAACAAACCTTTTTGTGGGTTCTGAGGTAGGGCTGAACAATATATTGTTTGAGCATCGATATCGCATTGTGTGTATCAAAGTCACATCACAGGATTAGATTGTTTATTAAAGACTAAAAGATAAAGATATTATTGAATTTTATATTGTTTAAATATTTATACAATGATGATCATTTTTTTTACATTTGATTGTTCAGTTTCTGTACTTGAATACTGTTAGACTCCCCAGAAAACCATAAAACCCTTATTTATTTACTTATTTTTGTTTGTAATTCATTATATTTTGTGCAATTGCACTGCATAGAAAAAGTCTTGATCATCCCAGTCGATCTAAATCAATGAAATATTTTCAAATAGAGCTATTCAAATCAAAAATGGATGAAACTATATTCAGATCGCAATATATTGCAGCCAAACAAAATATGGCAATGTCAGATTTTTCCAATATCATAAGGGAACTTTGGGTGTCATTACCAAAGCCACACTTTTTTGTAGAATAGTTGCGAAAAAATACTTGGACAACACGTTTTGGCCAGTAGCGTGTAAAAATTCACAATGATCATTCAACTATTTTCAAAAAATACCTGGATGACATACTACCTTTTGGCAATTCAAATTTTTTCTGTAATAGCTGTGAAAACATACTTTAAACTACTCATTTTAACAAGTAGTATCTACAAATTCACAACATTCACAGATTAGTTGATTAAAACTACTCAGATAACATGCTAATCTGGCAAGGAGTATATCCAAGTTGATAGACTTTTATCAATGCACTTTCCCTTTTAGAAAGACAGCGGCTGGATACAACCTAACAAACCTTTTTGTGGGCTCCGAGGGAACT